CTCAGAAATTATAGAGGAGTGAAAGGGAGATGGGTTTCAGCTGTCGATGCTTCAGGAGCATTCAGCAGCATTGCTGGATGAACGAAGCAACGTGGTGTTTTTGCTCTGCAGAGGTCTCAGAAATACCCAGGCATGAAGCGCTGCATGGTTTTGGGCTCGGTGAGAAGGAAGGCAGAAACCGGTGCCAGCCCTCGGTCATTCCCCGGCTGCTGGAGCTCTTCGAGGAAGTCGTACATCTGGTGCTTTCCCATTTAGTCCTTTCAAGAGGCTCATTTGAGAGCAATGTTTGTAAGGAAGAGCCAGAAATAAACAGCTCGTGATCCCATTTGTGGGACAAGAGAAACATAAGAAGAGAATTGTTAAAGATGGGACAATCAGTGAATAAAAGCCTGTTTTTTAACAAGGGTGATATTTTGCTATGGCCATTAGAAGACTGTTGTGTGTTACAAAGTGATTTTTTCCATAGCATGTGGAGGAAAGGAAAACCTTTGGATCTACAAAACAGCTGCTAAAGAAAAAGCCTGAGATGCAGCAGAGCACGTCTCCTGGGGGTGGTCTTCTACCTGGTGGTCTGCATCCATGCAGGACTTCTCTCCCCTTGGCCTCTTTCAGTCCTGCCAACCAAACGGTGGTAAAATCGCTATCCTCCAGGGAGGACTCTCTAGTTTAATTGGTTTTGTACCTCTGCCTCTCGGGGAGCTTTTACAAACAGAAGGGGTTTTCATTTGTCAGCCCTCCTCCTCTGAAGTTCTGCATGAGGTTTAGTATCATCTTCTTTGTCCCATCAATCCAGTTGTTGTTTCCCTGGTTGTTCTAAGATGTATTGTCCTGTTTTTACAGCTATGACACTACCAGAGACTATGGCCAGATATCACAGCTCAAATCACCTTCTGTTTGCATTAACCATGGTGACCGTCAGCTTTTAAATCCGCACATATCTACTTTGCTTGGCCACCTGTCCCCTCTCGGCAGAGAGGAGAGGAGTGCAGGGTGCTGGCCGCAGTGGAAGGGCGCTGTGCTCCGGGACAACAGTAACACAAGCACAAGGAAAGTATTCCATGTGTGAAAGCCAAGCACCCTGCCACTGCTGTGATGAGGAGTGGTAGATAACATGCAAGTTAATATTGAACCAGGATTGTTGCTGGGGCGGTGTGCCAGGAGCAAACACGCCAGGAGCCACCACAGTGCAGTGGACCATGTGGTGGCCAGCAGACAAACGAGGGAGGCATGCGGGGCCGTGGCTTCAGCGGTGTCCAGGACTACTACAGGAGACCCTGCCATGGGGGAAGCAGGGGCCACACTGAGTCGCTCCTCTGCTCCAGTATAAGAATATATAGTCTTTTTATAGCACTGTGCACATCACCACGGCTCCCACAAGCCTCTTTAGGGTCCTTGGGTTTTCTTATTAATGGGGAAAGCAACAGCGCTGTGTTGGTGTCAGCATGAAGGGCAATGTCAGAGGGGCTGAAGCCATGTCTGCTCATGACCTGGAGGAGGAGGTTCCTTTGGGACCACTCTGGGTCCTCCACAGGTACAGATAATCAACCCTGGAAACATCACTAGGGCTGTAAACCATATTTGTCTTCTCATATATAATGGTGCCCATAGCCTGGTGCACTGACTGTTGATGTGACTCTTAACAATGGGGTTAACAGCTCTCTCAGAGACGTTTCCTGTTAAATAAGTTATTATCTGAAATGGGAGGGAGGGGGAAGTGACAATTTTGTGAAACAGGTGAAATTCGAAGAAGCATTGATGTCAACTTGCAGTCTGCTGCTGTTATTTTTCATTTGTGTTAGCACATCTGCTGCACAACCACAGAAGGGAGCACCCGTCGCTCCCCCTTTCAGTACCGCAGGACATTTTTCCTGGGTCACCAGCCTTGGACAGACGGGAGCTGTGTAGGGATCCCAGCCCAAACTTGGCCAACTTTCTTCTTTTCTCTTAGACAAGGTGCTGGGATGCCGTGGCAGCCTCACCTGCAGCACAGTTGTGTGGTTTGCTTGTCCACAATGCTAAAACCCTTTAAATGTTGTCAGGAAACATGATCTGGAGAGCCTTCCCCTCTGCTTCATCCCTCCTGGGTGCCATTTCAGTGATACTGACGTTAAAAAAATAGCCTCAGTAAGTACACACTCCACCATCGCATTTGGTCCAAAGGGCTGTGTAAGTATAAAAGCATCACTTTAATACCTTCATTTTATACAAAATTATGCCATGATGAGTGTTCAGGATCACCCCACCTGCAGCTCTGACCTGTGGTGGCAACTTTGGTTGGGAGGTGGAATTTTTATCTACTATGATTTTCTCAAATCTGTGGAGCCAGGGAGACAACAGTGCTCCAAGAGACATGCAAAAACAACACAAAACAAAAATCAGGTAAATAAGGAGTTTGCAGAAGTCCACAATGCATGTACCCCGTGGATGTGCCTCTCATCAGGGACGCTGCAGAGCCCGGCTGCGGGAGCACTGCGCAGTACCATCCCCACCGCCAGCCCTGCGGGTTCCCCTCCTGAGCGTTCGTCCCGGTAGGTTCACAGGGAGGTTAGCAGAGCCGGGAAGAGAAGTGCTCCTGATGTGAAATGGGTCAGGGGGACGGTGTTACTGCCCCCCCTCCGCCGCCGGCTGCGTGACAGAGCACCATGGGTTCAACGAGGCTCTGCATCTTGTCTTCTCCTTAGAGTGTCACCTCTAAATCAGTAGATTGCTCCCACTCAAACCTATTTTGGACAAACGAGCAATTTCCTTGCATGTGAAGTTGCTGCACAGTTTATTTACTTTTGTCGGGGGTAGCTGGCATCCTTATTCTCCTCTGAAGTCTGGCTTTGCTTCAGTTTCTGTCTGAGAGAGGAGAGGGTTACTGAACCACAAACCCGCTTCCCACTGAGAAATCACAACAGCTGTTAGCAGAGGTTATTGGAAAATCAAAGGGCTTGTGCGAGGGAAGAAATACAGCTAACCCTGGCCGGGGGGTTGCTGCCCCAGCACCTGGTTTCTCCTGCCTCTCATCGCAGTTCTTGGTGTCCTTCTAGTATGGGTCCCCACGAGGGGGAGAACTGGCCTTTGGATGCAATAATAAAGGATAACTCCCATGGTATAGTTGCTTCAAGGTGTCTTATAAGGGGGAGACTCCATAAAATGAAGAATAATTCCTGCT